GCTGATTCTAGCCAGTTTGGTTTGTTTACATTTCTATTTTGTTCTAGTGTGGGAGAAGTTGTGTTAGTTGTATTATGACCCTGGATCAGGGCCTGATTGATTTGTAAATCTATGAGAATATTTTTTCCTATTAGTTGGTGTAAATCTGAAATTGTGTTTGTTGTTGTTTCCATTTCCAATAATGATGTCATGTCTTGAGAATTCGGAAGTAAGCTGGAATTCCTTTTTCTCTTGAAATTTTTTCAGTTGTATTTTTTTTGGTAGTTGTTTGCATGGAAATAGTAATGTTGTAATTAGTATTATGCTTTTTTTCTTTACTTTGTTTGCCTATTGTGTTATTGTTTTCAATGTAGACGGAAGTAGGTCAAGCTTTTTTCTTTCGAGTTTCTGCCAAAAGTGGTTTGTTATTTTTATTGTTGTTGTTTATCTTAGTTGCCGACCTAGTTAGCAACAGAGTTGTGAAGATGACTGGAGTGCAAAAAGCTGTCTCTCTATTTCGTTTAATCTTTAAAAGTTGTGTCTATTGTAATTGTTACAAATTATTAATAGTTATTTAATTATAGTATCAAACTGAGTGTGTCTTGTTATTAATTGTTTTGTTTTTCTTTATAAAAAAAAAGATCTTCAGGAAAGTTAAAAAAAAATTATTATAAGTATTTGTTTATTTTTTTACTAAAAATGTAATTTACCATATAGATCATATAGAAAATGAGCTACTATACCCACTACTCTTAATTAAATCATATTTTTATAATATTTTCCAAAGTTTGTTAGAAACTCAGATAAGGATCTTGAGTTCTATAATATTTTTTATGTTTTTTAATTTATTTATCAATAAAAAGGAGATATCAATAATAAAAGTTTAGTAAATTAAAGATATCTATATTATTATATGTATTAAAATTTATTTATAATTTTATGAACTTCCTTCATTTATACTAAGTTTTTAGGATTTAAAAAGTACTTCTGTGAATTACACAACTTTAAAATTTAATGATATGCTTTAAATTTTAAAATTTAAATAATTCAAAATTTATTTTTAAGAACTACAAGTTTAATTGTTTATAATTTTTTTTAACCTACAAATAGGATCAACTGCCTATAGCAAACATCTTAAACCATCATCAGATTATGCAAAGAGATTGAATAAACTAAGAAAAATAAAAAAAATGTCTAACAATTTTGTATCAAATACAAATGATCTAGTGGAAATATATTTACAACTAATTGTAAAATATTTTAATGAGGACTTAACACAAGTTTTGTTGAAGCCATTGCCAAAACAAATGAAGGATGTTGACAGTTGTTTAAAGTATCTTCAATTATAAGAACAACACTTTGAATATTATCAAAAGGAAATTACTAACAGTATAAAATGCAAAAACTAATATATTCTTTGTCTGAGTTCTTTTTATATTGCTGATACTTTGTCAACAAGAACAACAAGAAGAAATGAACCAATTGCATTGGAGAAGACTACACAGATAATTGGAAGGGTAATAATTTATAGGCTCTGATTAACAAAAAATTTGTCAATATTAATTCACACTCTATTTTAAAAAAGTAGACTGCATGTTAAAAACTGCACTATTTCCTATAGGTAACAAATTTTACACCAATTGAGATAATTGAATCAAGCTAAATTAAAATTATTTTCTCAGTGCAAGTGAAAGTGAATATAATTTCTTGATTAAAGAATTATTAAAAAATCCCAAATTCCCTAAATTCCATAATACAACTAACACAACTTCTCCCACAGTAATTGTGATATCGGCTCATGGCTCTAAATCAACTCTATATAACACAAGCCGAGCTATTGGTTAGCAGAGCCATTAGTTAGCTAAGCTGAAAATTAGCTCGGCTAAGACG